CCCATCCGGCAGCGGGAGGCGCCCCCGCCGTGTCCCGAGTCCGTAAGTACGAGGGGGGCATGTCTGCGAGCAGTGAGAAGGGGCATCTTCCAAAGGAAGCTTCCCTGGCATTAACCGTTCCATAAATGTCTCCACTTTGGCAACAAGACATTTACTTTTTATATATTCAGCAGCAGGATCTTTCCCACATGCGCCAGTCAGTAGGATGCAGAGCCTGTCTCTGCTCCAGTCACAGCTGAAAAAAAGAGATGCCCATAAACCACGTACCCTTCCCCACAAACTTCAAAAAGTTGGGTCGGCCTCCCTTCACGGAGCTAGGACTGATTTTGGGGCCCCGGATATACTGGACCTGTTCGCTGTGGAGCGACCTACCTGCTCGGATGCCAGGGGGCTGGATGAGACAGGCGAAGTGTTTGAGTTTGTTGGGGTTTTTTTTCCCAACACTGCCTGTTAACAGTTCTACAGTAGTCCTCATTATACTCGAAGTACTGTATTTCCTCCATTTGTAGGCATGCTCCTTTCCCCCGATGTTAACATTTTTGAAACCAGGATACATCTTAACAGAGAGGCTAAAAGGACTTGCCCTCTGCTAGGCAGCCACGTGGGTGGTGATGTGTCTTGTCACTGCTCGCCCATGTGAAAATGCAGCCATGTGCAGTTGAGATACTGGAAATGAACTTTAAATTGAGATCTCTTGCTTTTAAAAATAACTTTAAAATACCCTGGCCCAATAGCTCACTTGGTTAGAGCATCCTCCTGATGGGCCAAGGGGTTTCATCCCAGGCGGTAGAACAACAAATGGATATCTCTCCCTCTCTAAAATAATAAACAAACAAACAAACAAACAAACAAAAACTTAAAAAGATAATGCTGTGAAGCAGCATTAAAGCAAAAGTTTTATAGTAATGTTTATTAAAGGTTTACTACGTGCCTGCCATTGTCTCAATTAATCAACTTTACAACCCTATGAAGTACAATTATTATTCTTATTTTATAGATGAAGAAACTGAAGCTCAGATAATTGAAGTGCCTTAGAGCTTTTAAGTGCAAGAGTCAGGATTCTAACCCGGGCTGTCTGATTCCAAAGCTGCCCTCTTTCAAGTCTGTATCCAGGTAGAAGATGCATGCAGCTTATAAGGAGGGAAGTCAAGGCAGGATCCGTGCATGTCTGTGTATCTTTGGCTGTTTGTATATATGTGTATGGAACTGGGAGACAGAGTCACCTCCAAGAGCATTGATTATACTTATTCCCACATTGGTGCCAAATCTTTGTTTTTGGATCTTTTGCAGTTTTAAATATATTTCTGCAAGTTCTGGGTTTCTGGCTATCTGAGGGTGCTCCTGGATCCCTCCTCCCCTGCCTTGTGCTCCTCTAGAAGAAGACAGAGGCATGCACTCAAACCTATGCAACCGGCTGCCTCCCAAGGAGGCAGTACTTAATTTGAGACAGGAGTCCGTTTTTCAGACTCACCCAAGTCACATCAGCCTCTAGGAGCCCCCAGGTTCTGGTGCTGCAGGAACATGCCAAAGGAGAGCCCCGAGGACAAGAGACTGTGATCAGAGGAGGACCGCACAACTGTGAAGCTTCTCAGCAGAGGTTCTGGCGGTTTCCTCCCCAGAAGTCGACAAGCCCAACTGGGCAGACATCATCATGCTACAGCAGCTCTTGATCACCCTGCCCACCGAGGCCAGCACCTGGGTGAAGCTGCATCATCCAGATAAGGCCAAGGAGGGGATGCCCCTGTGGGAGGACGTGACGAAGATGTTCGAAGGAGAAGGTGAGAATAGACTGATGGAGGCGGGATGGAAGGGGCAGGTCTCTGGGGCTCATGCTTGTGGCTTTTGGGAAGGGGAGAGCTTGAGAGTTCTGGAGTTCTGACCGTGTGGTGATTGCTTCTAGATCCCTCCTCTCCTGCCTTGTTGCTCCTCTAGAATAATACAGAGGCACGCACTCCAATGTACTCCACCTGCTGCCTCCCAAGGAGGCAGTACTTAGGATTGTGCTCTCAGCACGGGCTTCTTGCTGACATGTGCTCCACGCTGCCCCATGCTTCTTGCATCTCCAATACTACATACAGCAGGAAAACAGAACACAAGACGTTCCCCACCAGCAGTTCCCGAGTGTGTAAACGTGATTCATGGACAGCAAAGTCAAAGCTTTTTGCAACCTTAAGCCCTCCAATGGCTTTCCTTCACAAGTTTCAGTCATTTTTGCTCCAAACCAATATCAGTTCTTACCATTTTCCACTGAGAGGAAGGAATGACATGCTTGATTACTTTCATTTTACCTTGAAATATGTGGGCTGAGTGGGAAATATGTCAAAGATTACATATTATTTAGTAGTCTGCTCAGGATAGATGGATAGAGGAATTTGTGTGTTTCACGTGGTCTCTTAATTCATACCTTTAACACTTTAGATTCAGCCAGTATTTATTGTTTTCTAGCTGTGTCAGGCAGGGAATTTACTAAGCATCTTGAGATGGAAAAATGAATAACAATCCCTAATGCTAATTATTAATTGATGGAGATAGACACACCAGGTCAAAATAATAGAAGGTAACTCAGGAAAATGCTATGGTGAACTTCTTTTGGAAGACAAGAGATAGGAAACATTTTTCCAATTCTTCTTATCTGAGAAATTTTTACAAAGCAGATAGCATTGAATTCGGCCTTGAAAGATGTCTAAGTTTTTTTTATGGTTCAGAGAATGGAGACTATTATAATCTAACTGAGGTCCGTATTCATGTCCAACAGATAATGGTGATTAGAGGAAACCAGTGCTGGAAAGATATGCTTCAGGTAGACTGTAGAGTGCCTTGAAGTCCATGGGAAGTGGCTGGATTATTTTCTTGTTGGGAACCTTTGAACAAAGGACTGGCTTGGTAGAGCTGTGCTTTTGTACCAGGATTGACCCTTGGGAAATACTAATGCCCAAAACAATGCACTGTAGACCCTCCTCATTAAGGAGGCTCCAGTGTCCTGGAGCCACTCTAAATGTCCCTCTTTGTGAGTGTATTGAGAGAGGAGCCATATTCAGCAGGTCTGCAGGCAGTTTTTCAATTTGGGAGGTTTGGTGAGATGCAAACCTGATGGCTCTTTTCCTTCCCCAGCTCTGCTCTCTCAGGATACTGATGAGACCCAGGGAGAAAGTTTAAAGGATGAAGGGACCTCTGGGGCCAGGACAGCAGAATTCCAGGTCGGTTGGTTTCCCTTCATTTTTTTTGACATGCTTCTTAGTTTTTAAGGCTATAACTTGCCCTTTATTTTTTGGAGTGGGTGGTTGTTGAAGCTAACAGATTCAACCTAGGATACTCAGAGCACAGAAAACAGGGCCATGGTGGTAGCAGTTTATCTACTCATAGAAGTTATACCTTCCTCCATGTAACTCTAACATTGTGCTAATTTCTGTAAAGAAAGCAAAATGAATGATACAATTCTAGCCTCCAAAAACCCACAGATACCACTTGGGATCTAAGATAAGCCTCATATTTTTTTGAGTATTTCATACTGAAAAACAAACTTTGTAAGTCAGAAGAAAGCTCTGACATTCTTAGTGAGGTACACATATCACTTTGTGAACTTCATGAGATGACCTTAGAGTATTTGGAGCAGAGGTCAAACTGCAGCCGAAGAAGTGAGAAGAAATAGGCCACAGGTGCAGGTACAACAGGCTGTCAGAAATGGGTATCCTCACCGCCTGGTGCAAGGATAGGTGAGACAGAAGGAAAATTGTTGAGTAAGTGGAAAAGGAACACTATAAAGGAGATGTTATTTGAGGACAGAAGAGTTTTAAGTGAAAAGAACTTGGGTTCTAAAATTAGATGGTACAAGATTTGAACTCATGTCTTGAATTTACTTGCTTGATGATCTGGGGCAGTATTTTTTAGCTACTTACATCCCCAGTTTTCTCAGCTAATTCAGATGCTAATACCTTTTAGGACTGAAATGCATTCCAGATTTATTTAGAGAAATATGGAAGAAGCAATAATAGCCTAATTGTTTAAAAAGTTGTCTCTGCATTGCACTTTTCTGGAATTCCTTGCTTCCTGATATTTATCAAAAACTGATGGGATTCTTAGCACTTGGGACAAGATTAAATTTTAAAAAGTTGAAGTATAATTTATATACAGGATAAAACACTTAAGAAAGTGCATAGTTCTATTTTGACATGTTAAACTAATTATTGTGATTTTTGTCTCTGTCTCACTTTAGTTCTGCCAATTCTGCTTTATTTTGAATTATGTTATCAGATGCATAAATGTGTGAGATTGTTGTCTTCTTGATGAACTGACCCTTATCATTATGAAATGTCTCTTTATGCCTAGTAATATTCCTTTTCCTGAGGTCCACTTTGTCTGGTCTAATATAGTTCCTCCAGTGTTCTTTTAGTCATTGTTTGCATGGTATAGCCATTTCCATTCTTTTACTTTAACCTCTCTTTGTCTTTATATTTAAAGTATGACTTTCTTAAATATAGCTGGGCCTTGCTCGGTTAGTCCATTTACAGTTAACATAATCATTGGTATGGTGGGGTTTAAGTGTACATTCTTGCTCTTTGCTGTTTGTCCCATCTATTCTTTGTTCCTCCTGTCCTGCTTTCTTTTGGATTGAATAGTTTTTCAGTATTCCATTTTATGTCTCCAATGACTTTTTACCTATACTTCTTTGGTTTGTTTTAGTGGTTGCTCTAGCCATTACAATAGGCTTTTTTTTTTTTTTTTTTAAATATCTTTATTGATTTCAGAGAGAGGAAAGGAGAGGGAGAGAGAGATAGAAACATCAATGATGAGAGAGTCACAATCGGTTGCCTAGCCCACAACCCGGGCATGTGCCCTGACAGGGAATCGAACCCTGATCGCCTGGATTCTAGGTCGATGTTCAACCGCTGAGCCACGCCCGGCCAGGCAGGCTTTTTTTTTTTTTTTTTTTAACATATCACAGTTGCTATGAATTAATATTATACTATTTCACATATAATATGAAAGTCTTATATTTCCATTTACTGTTTCCCATTCTTTGTATATCATAATACATTTCCCTTTACATGTTATAAACCCCATATTACATTGTAATATGGATAACACTACACTGTGTCATAAAAAAATTAAGAAAATGAGTCTTTCATATGTGCCCATATATTTACCAATTCTGCCATTCTTAATTCCTTCCTTTAGTTCTGAGTTTCTCTCTGACATCATTTCCCTTCAGCCTAAAGAATGTCATTTAGCATATCTTGTAGTGTGGGTGTCCTGATGACAAATTCTCATAGCTTTTGTTGATCAAAAAATGTCTTTATATAGTCTTCCTATGTGAGGATTTCTTACTGGATACAAAATTCTAGGTCGACTGTTCTTTGGTTTAAGCACTTTAAAGATGTTCCATGATCTTTTTTTTAGCTTGTATTGTTTGGGATGAGAAGTCAGCTGTTATTCTTATTATTTGCCTATATGTAGTATGTCCTTCTGCTTTTAAAAATAAATGCCAACTTTTCATGTTTTTTTGTTCCTCCTTTCCCACCTTCTTTTGGCTACTTGTACGATCTTCCCTTTTAACTTTGCTCTTTAGCAGTTTTACTATGAAGTGCATAGGCATGGATTTCTTTGAATTTATTCCTTTTGGGGCTTGCTGAGCTTCTTAGATCTGTGGGTTGTAAATATTTTAGCCTTTCTCTCTCTCCCCCCCTTCGCTTCCTGACATTTATCATATATATTTACCCATTCTCTTATCTCCTTCTGAGATTCTAATTACTTGTATATTAAATGACTGGATATTATCCAGATTTTTTTCTCTTGGTGCTTCAGTTTTAATAACATCTATTTACCTCTCTTAAGTTTCCCTGATCTTGTCTTAATCAGGATCAAGTCTTCTGTTAAGCCCATCCAATGGATTTTTCATATATTGTATTTTCAGTTGTAGAATTTTCATTCAGTTATTTTTTAGCATTTCTATCTCTCCCCTCATTTACCTCCATATTCTCACCTATTCTATCTATATTTTATTGTAAATTCTTGAGCATATTTTAATAATTGCTTTAAGTTTCTTGTCTTCTAATTTCAATGACTTAGTCACCTATGGGTTTGCTTCTAATGATTTCTATTTTCTTGGTTATATGACCATATTTCTCTCCTTATTCACATGTCTAACAATTTTTTATTGTAGTTTAGATAATGTATATAAAAGAACAATGGAGGATTTTATATATATATAGTTTGTTTCATTCAGTTTATTTCTAAGAGACTCTAAGACCTTTCCTCTGGTGGTTAAGATGGGGGACTGATTATTCATATTCCTGCTATAGCTGTAGAGTTCTGGCTGAGCTCTGGCTGAGACACAGCTTTGATTGAGTTCACTTCTGATTAACTCAGCTACCAGTGCCCTACGACACCACTGCAGAGAGGCTGATCTTTTTTATCTCTTCAGTATTTGAGCTAGGAAGGGGTTAGACTACACTTCCAGAAGGTTTTATTCATCTTTGCATTAAATTCCAGCAGGGCCCCAGAATTTAAGCTCAGCAGGAATGCATTGGCCTTTGTGACTGTAAGTGCTAAAAGCCTCTCTTCTCTCTCTCTCTCTGTTCCCTGGGTCTCTCTGATCTCATCTTCTTCCACTCTCCCCTTTACTAACCTGCCTCCAGTGATGTTGTTGACTTTTCTGCTCATCAAACAAGCAAATGACACTGTCACCTTAGTTTTTTTGCACCTGTCTGGAATACTCGCCCCTTAGATTTCCACAAAACTCTCTCTCACTGAATTCACATCTCTGGTTAAATATTACCCTTTTAGAGAGGCCTTCCCCCATCATCCTCCATAGAAGATCATCCCTACCCTCACTGTGGCTCTCCCTATTCCTCTTATCCTGCTTAATTTATTCTAAGGCATATATGACCATCTGCCCTTCTATGTATTGACTTGTTTATGGTAATCTCCAGAGACTCTCCAAACAGATCCAGAGGAAGCTCCCAGTAAAACTAGTTTAGAATCCCTCAGAATTTAGAATGCTATCAGAACTCCATGGGCATTGATGGAGGTGGTCTTTGGTTGAAAAGCAGTGTATTTGATATTCTAGGAAATGCTGACCTTCAAGGACATATCTGTGAACTTCACCCAGGAGGAGTGGGGGCAGCTGGCCCCTGTGCACCGGAATCTGTACCGGGAGGTGATGCTGGAGAACTATGGGAACCTGGTCTCAGTGGGTAAGGATGGGCTCAGTGTTTATCCAGAATCTGGCCCATTACAGGAGAGGCATTATTTCTCAATTGTTAAATGTCCTGAATTCCCTGGATCTTGGCCTTGGGTTCTGTGCTAGAGATGTCTCATTCCTTTGAAAATCAAGCCACGCCATATCTGATTCTCCCCCCTTTACTTTGTAGAGCTAAAATCAAAAGGCATGCTGAGGTGCCCCTTTCCATTTTCAGAGATCCTAGGACTGGAACTAAATTCTGGGGATGGTTCTTAGGCCTCAACATAAACATTCATACTCTCTTTTTACTCCATAAGCAGGATACGAGTTTTCCAAACCTAGGGTGATTTCCCAGTTGGAGAAAGGAGAAGAGCCATGGATAACAGAGAAAGAAAGCCCAGGACATCCTAGTTCAGGTGAGCCAAGGCAGACAGTACCGTTTCATATGTAGGCCAGAGTGCCCAGAGTCTTCTTAGGCTGTGGGGAAGGGTGAGGCCCCTGGACAGGGCATTCACTAAACCGACTTCACCCCTCCCTCTGCCACCCCTTTGCTTCACTTGACCTTGCAAACATCTCTCTGGAGTTGGAAGGAAGAGAAGTCTTGTCCTCATTAAGATTAAACTTGATTTTCCCTCTTTCTTCACTATGTGGTCTCTCCTCACAGAAAACAGATCTCTGTTCAGGACTTTCACTGCATTCTACAAATCTTTAAACTTTCATTCTGTTTCCACTTTCACCAACTTTAATTTTATAATCCCAGCTTCGATTCTCACTCTTTTTAACTCACATATTTTAATTTTTTGTAACAATTACTTTATGAAAACTTCTGTAAGAGAAATTACCGCAGGATACCTTCTCAAATTCAGTGGTCTTCAACAATCTCCTTAAACTTTGTCATATTATGAAAAATTTTTGATGTTTAGAAAGGCATAGTGAACATTGTAACAAGTTTCATTGGAGCTTCCACCTCAGTTAAGGACTGAACCAGACTTCAAGCCTTGTTCCCCTGCCACCTTTTGAAATAACCAACCCTTCTGAGTTTAAAGATTACTATTCCCACATGTGTCTTCATACTTTTACTGTATATATATCCCTAAACAATGTAGAGCATTGTTTTGCATATTCTTCTCTAAATAAATGGTATGTGTGCTCTTTGCACTTACTTTTCTCATTCAACCCTGTTTGTATTTAACCATGTTCATTCATTCCTGTTGAATCATTGAACCGTTAATTATCTACTTTCCTGTTGATAGGTCTTTCTACTGTTTCTAAATTTGGATGTTACAAAGATGCAGTAAATCGTCATGCATGTATTCTCTTGTGTACACATGCAAGTGTTTCTCTGAGCTATTTGGCAGAAGCAAAGTTGTTGGGTCATGGAGTATAATGTGCTCCATCACTTCTCAAGGACTTACCAGACTGCTCTCAGTTGCATCCATTTGTTCTCCCATCAGCAGGGTGTAAGAGTTTCCAGAATTCAGCATCTTTGCCAACATATGGCACTGACAGACTGAGACTTTTGTAAGTTTAGTGGCTGAATATGGTATCTCGTTATTTCTGTCATTTTCCTGGTTACTAGGGAGAGGGAGCTTATGTTTAAATATAATGAAAATCTCGTACTTTATATGTATTGTTATCTAAATCTTTATAGTAATTGAGTTTTCAAATCATAAAGAATATGAGTTATTTTTATTTTTTGTGTGTTTCTTTCAGGCTTGAAGAGTAAAACAGAAACCAATACGTCAGCTGCAAGGAATGACATTTTACAGGAACAGTTATATCAAGGCATTATGATGGAAAGGTTCATGAGGGGTGATGTCACGGAATCCACATTGAGGAAAGTCTCCAAATATAACGAGTTAGAAAGGGATCAGGACACCCATGGAAGAGATGTAAGACAAGCCACCTTGACCCATAAGAAGAGGGGCCAAGAAACTAACAGATTTGGGGAAAATACTGTGAGCTCAAATATTCTTATAGAACAGAGGTACTGTAAATATGACACACTTAGACAGAGGAACAAATACAAAATAGATCTGATGAATCATCCAGCGAGTTACATAAGAACAAAAACCTATGAATGTAATATATGTGAAAAAATCTTCAAACAACCCATTCATCTTACTGAACACATGAGAATTCATACTGGCGAGAAACCTTTCAGATGTAAGGAATGTGGAAGGGCCTTTAGTCAAAGCGCATCTCTTAATACCCACCAGAGAATCCATACTGGTGAGAAACCCTTTGAATGCGAAGAATGTGGCAAAACCTTCAGACATCGCTCCTCCCTTAATCAGCATCACAGAACTCACACTGGGGAGAAACCCTATGTATGTGATAAGTGTCAGAAAGCTTTCAGCCAGAACATTAGCTTGATCCAACATTTGAGAACTCATTCTGGAGAGAAACCCTTTACATGCAATGAATGTGGGAAAACCTTTCGACAAATTAGGCACCTTAGTGAACATGTAAGAATTCATACTGGGGAGAAGCCCTATGCGTGCACTGCATGTTGTAAAACCTTTAGTCATAGAGCGTATCTAACACATCACCAGAGAATCCATACTGGGGAGAGACCTTACAAATGTAAAGAATGTGGGAAAGCCTTTAGGCAGAGGATCCACCTTAGCAACCATAAAACTGTTCATACAGGAGTGAAAGCGTATGAATGCACCCGCTGTGGGAAAGCCTATAGGCATGACTCGTCCTTTAAAAAACACCAGAGACATCACACTGGAGAAAAACCTTATGAATGTACTGAATGTGGAAAAGCCTTCAGCTATAATTCATCACTTACTCGGCACCATGAAATACACAGGAGGAATGCTCTCAGAAATAATGTGTAAAAATAGTTTATATATATAAAAAAAAGATTATCCAACATGAGAACAAAAGCCAAGTCCAAATTAGTGATTCTATGCTTTTAAATTTCTGGACTCTAAACTTGAGTTATTGATATAATGATGCCAACTTCTAATTTTGCCCGTTGTGTAAATAAACAGTACATTGATAACTACTATCTACTAACACCTCCATACAAAGTACCTAATCCAGAATAAAGGATGCTCCTTCCAACTAAATTCAGCAATATGAAAAATTCACACATTATTATTATTTTTCTGATTTCATGGTAGATTATTAAATTATTATTCATTGGCATTCACTGACTTACAGATCATCATTTGGGAACTACTGTTTAAAATGTCACCGCCCCCATGTTTTAAGTTAAAATTTTACTTTTTTTAATGGGGAAAACTTTCATATAGTACAAAGTTTGTAAGGCACAGACAGTTCTATAAGTGAGAAGTCTCTTTTCTCCATCCCCCACCACCAAATTCTACCTAAAAGCAACCATTTTTTATAACTAATTTTTTTGTGTACCCTTCCAGAGATTTTTCTATTTATATCTAAGAGAATACAAATATACACTTTTTCTTTTTAAGCGTAAATGGTAACCTCCTATACAAATGCATCTGCACATTACTTTTATCATTTAACTATAACATGGAGGTCATTCCACATTAGTAAAGTGCTCACTCGTTCTTTTTTACAGCAAGATAATATTCCATGTTTTGAATGTACTTTATTATTTTTTTAAATATTTATTTTAATACAAAATGTTTTTTAATCCTCACCTGAGGGTTTAAAAAAAAAAAAAAATCTTTATTGATTTCAGAGAGAGGAAAGGAGAGGGAGAGAGAGAAATAGAAACATCAATGATGAGAGAGTCATTGATCGGCTGCCTCCTGCACACCCCTGGCTGGGGATTGAGCCTGCAACCCGGGCATGTGCCCTGACCGGGAATCGGACCCCGATCACCTGGATCCTAGGTCGATGCTCAACCACTGAGCCATGCCCGGCCGGGCAACAAGGATATTTTTTCCATTGATTTTCAGGGAGTGGAAGGGAAGGGAGAAGGGAAAGAGAGAGAGGGAGAAACATTGATGTGTGATGTGTGTCTCATACCGATTGGTTGTGTCCCAAACTTGCCTGACTGGCCTGGGGACTGAACCTGCAGCCCAGGTACATGCCCTTGACCTGGAATTGAACCCATGACCCTCTGGTGTACAGGCTGACACTCTAACCACTGGGCCACGCTGGCCAGGGCTGAATGTACTTAGCCAGTGCACTACAGATGGACTTTTGAATTTCTAATCTTTTGTTTATATGATGAGATGAATAGTCATATATTTTTACTTCTCACATATGTAAGTATACATGTAGGGTAAATTTCTAAAACTGGAATTTCAGTGCTAGAGTGTGTGCATTTGTATGATGGATATTGCCAAATTGACCTTCATAGAGGTTGGACCAATTTATTTTCCACCAGCAAGATATAAAACTCCATGTCTGGTGCTGAACTCCATGTCTTAAACTCCATGTCTTAGACTGGCAGCCCTATCAGCCACCTGTGTCAGCCTGTCACAGTAACATAGCCTGGAAGTACTGGCTGAGCTGGATCAGCACATGACATCCCTGGAGCCAGAGTGGAATCTGTATCTTATCTAATAGCCAAGCCCATCAAAGTCTCAGGAACAAAAGGAGAAGACACTTTTCCACCAACTGTTCTAGTCCCTGGGAGACAAAAGAAGTAGGACATGGCTTTCTAATTAATAAGCTATGAGTGAGAGCATGAATTAGTTAACATTGCTTATTATGTTGTGAAAACTGAGCAAGGTCACGACCACAGTGATTTTGTATGTGTTCATTTTTCAGTCTGGTAAAATTTTATTAAAATGTTCATGATTCTCCATTCACTTTTCTCCTTCCCATATGGGCTTTAAACTGAATGTACAGGGTGGGCAAAGTAGGTCTACAGTTGTGAGTACATGAAACAATTTATTCTTGTATTATTTATTTGCATTAAAACTACAAACCTACTTTTGCCCACCCGTGTATTAGTTGGAACTCTTTAGGTTGCAAATAACAGAAGTCAGCTGGGGCAATTTAAGTCTCAAAGGGGATGTTATTAGAGAGATAATGGACTATCTCATGTAATCCAGGGGCTGTAATACATTCTAACAGCGGACCGGGACTAGGACCTAAAGTGCTTTGGAAAACCCAGGCAGTTTTCTCTCCATTTGTCACCTCTGTCCCTTGTGTCTTCATTCTGGCTTTTTTTTAAAAAACCACATTGCAAATCATGGTGCAGGGAGATACAGCACCCAAGGTGGCAAAGCCAAGACGCAGCTCTTACCGGACTAGGCCACGTGCGGGGAGAAAGGGACACGCCCAGGCCTTCCTCGGGCACGGGCGGGGCAGCAGCCGGGACGCCCGGCCAGAGGGGGCGCTTCTAGGTGGAGCGACAGCGCAGCTCGGCTCCCGATGAAACCACGAGCGCAGCCCGCGGCGCGCAGGGGGCCGGCCCGGGGGCACCGCGCTTCCGGTCCCT